TTTTTTTCCCTTTATTCTCTTTTTTTTCAACCGAAAAACGCACAAGCGAATGGTATGTTGAATTTTGTGAAGGGTTGAGGGCAAAAAGCCCTCTGTCCAACCCAGTGCAAGTGACCACACGCTGTGTTTATCGACATTCTCCAACATCTCCCCCATCCCACGCTTTTGACCTCCACGTCCATTCCACCACATTGTTTCCTCCATTTTTCCATGTTTTTACTTATTGAAACGCCATGAATTGCGCCGGAATATTCGTTTCATTGAGGGTAAATAAACTCTGTGTAAGTACAGGAATAATTGCTGTGATTTCAAACATTAAAAAATGGCTTAAAAAAATAAATAAAATGTGGTGAATTCAAACATTTAGCATTGTATTCCTCGAGCAGTGAATAAGAATGAATTAACTGAATTAATATTACAAAAAAAGAATAAATTTAATGCATACAACACAGTTTCGAATGCATACAATTTACAAAATTAAATTGAATTTATGATTTCAGAGGCGTTTTTCCTAGTAGAGATTTTGATGACTTTCAAGGGTGTCAGTGATGTAATTAGAAGACTAAGAAAGTTCCATCCCAAATAAACATAAGGAAGGCTCGATTTCCTCCACCAGATGAAAAAATACGAACATTAATCCTCAGAAAAAAAGTTTTTGGAAGTATTTTAATTCGAAGTGGAATTTTTACGTCTGTGGGATGATATCAATGGCAATCTTCAGATTGGTGAACTCCTCAAGCAAGAAAAATGGTTCCAGAATTGAGCATATTTAATAAGTATATCTAAAAACACATTGTCAAGTTTTTTTGTTGAAAATCCTCATCGACATTTGTAGTTCTCTAGTTCTCTAGATCATTTTTTGAAACCTGTTGTTTTTTGAGAGTTTTCTCGGAAATCATTGAAATAAACTCTTGAAATCATTGAGAAACTGTTACCATTCGAAACTGAGACTTTCCTCATGAATTTCACAATCATTTTACAATTAATGATTTTTTAAGAGTGGTAAATACATTTTTACCTGAATCCGGTCAGCTCCTCAAACACGAAAAATGTTTCGGGAATTCAAAATGTCTTATAAGTACTTCGTCAATTTTTTTTCGTTCAAAATCCTCTCCGACTTATGGACTAGTTCATTAGAGCTTCCGCTTATGTTCAATTTTACACTAGGTAAATTTCGGAAGTTTGCTGTCTTCCGATAAAATTCTTGAAATCATTAGGAAATTGTTACTGTTCGAAATTGAGACTTTCCTCATGAATAATTTATAATTAACGATTTTTGAAATGGTAACAAATTAATCTTTATCCAAACTGTCCCCAGAAATGTATTCCATAATAAAAAAATTAAAATTGCTGAACGTATTTGATGAACAAAAAAAATATAGTATGTTGCAAGATATAATTCGAATTACGTTGATCACATTTTTACCCAAATTAGTGGGAAAAAATAACAATCTACAATCTCTTCAACGCGTCAGGCAAGCAAAATATTTCCGGAATTGAAAGTATAATATCTAGTAAGTACTTCATCAATTTCTTTTTCGTTCAAATCCTCTCCGACATTTGTGATTGATCATTAGAGTTTCCATCTAAGCCCAATTCTACACAAGGTAAATTTTAAAGTGTTGTCTTCCGAGAAGAATCTTGAAATCATTGAGAATTTGTTACTAGTCGAAACTGAGACTTTCCTCCTGCATCATTAAATAATTGAATTGAATTTAAAAATGAATACTGAATATGAATAATATACAATTAATGATTCGTTAAGAATGATAATAAATCAATTTAAGCCGGAATTCCCTCAGAAATGTATTCCATAACAAAGAAATCAAAATTCCCGACAGTTTGAAAACAATCTGATATGTAACAAGATGTAATTAGAATCACGCTAATTAAATTGTAACCCAAATTAGCCTGAAAATTTGATTGAAAATTGATGCTGTGTTCAATACGAAACTTCAGACTCTCGTGGATCACCTCAATTTGAGAATAGCCCCCCCCTCCCCTACATAAAACTAAAAAACCAAAAAGTAATGAAACCGCGACAATGAACCCTTGCCCCAAACATTATCCTGAAAATACCCTTTAATACTCTAAATTAATGAACACAAATGAGTTCAAATATTTGTTATTCACCACCGGGTCTCACGGTGTCATAAAGGGAGTACGTTTGAAACATAGTTGGATACACAGCATATATAACTTGAACGGAAACGGAAACCAGCAAATTACATCACACATATACAGAGTGAGTTGAGAGAGAGGGTGACTCTCGGTGAATAACGTCCGTGGCATGCGCCACTGCGGTAACAGAAGCGCTCGAACGTCCAAACGCCCACGACAACAACAAAAGCTCCTGCCCTGGAGTCCCTCAACCCCTCTCCGTCTCACTATCCAACTCTCTTTGTGTGCGAGAGTTTGCCTATATCGACGAATGCCCGACGTTGTTCCTGTGTGAATTTCGCGTAACCCACACGGCGCGGCCGAAACCACGTACAACCCCTGCCTCTCCCTCCCCCTCGCTCGCCGGGCCGGGAGTGACCACCGAGAGACTATAGGCGCTTTTACCTCTATAGAGGCTCTGGCCCTCTCCCACCCTCCAAAATTCACCTCTCGGTCATGCGAATTGTGAACGCATTGCACACGGCTGCACTGATTTATTAACCAACGTGCAATTGTTCGTGGAATCGCTTTAATAATTAAACCCGGAGATGCACCAGTGTTGTTGATTAAACGTTATGGACAGGTTCATTTTTATTCGCGATTTATCATGCGAGATGTTTAATTAATTTGTCATTCATGGGAGAGGATTTATTGAAGATTTTCGGAACTGTTGATTTTTCATTTGCTGGGTTTTCCCTTTTATGCTTGAAATTCATTTGCGAAGGGGGTAAAGTCAAATATTAATATTTCGGGTGAATTCTTATAATTATGTTTGATTTTTAATGAAAATAAAAAGAACTTTCTCGGGACTGGGAGAGGGTTTTGACATTTTCTAGGAAATCCGTTTGTTTTAGAAATAATTAAACAGTTCGCTAGATATGAGAGATTTATCATTACGTGTTGACATATTGAATGCATTTAAGAGTTATAATGCTAATAACTAAATTCTTTGCCATTATGAATCAAAATGATTTTCTCCGCCTGATATTTTCCATCTAATAAAAAAAAATCATGTAAAACCATAACTATTGAATTATTAACAAATGTATGATTGTCAGTGAAATCGCTTTAATAATTAAACTCCGAGATGCACCAGTGTTGTCGATTAAACGTTATGGACAGGTTCATTTTTATTCGCGATTAATCATGCGAGATGTTTAATTAATTTGTCATTCATGGGAGAGATTTTATTGAAGATTTTCGGAACTGTTGATTTTTCATTTGTTGGGTTTTCCCTTTTATGCTTGAAGTTCATTTGCGAAGGGGGTAAAGTCATATATTAATATTTCGGGTGAATTCTTATAATTATGTTTGATTTTTAATGAAAATAGAAAGAACTTTCTCGGGACTGGGAGAGGGTTTTGACATTTTCTAGGAAATCCGTTTGTTTTAGAAATAATTAAACAGTTCGCTAGATATGAGAGATTTATCATTACGTGTTGACATATTGAATGCATTTAAGAGTTATAATGCTAATAACTAAATTCTTTGCCATTATGAATCAAAATGATTTTCTCCTCCTGATATTTTCCATCTAATAAAAAAAAATCATGTAAAACCCTAACTGTTGAATTATTAACAAACGTATGATTGTTAGTGAAATCGCTTTAATAATTAAACCCCGAGATGCACCAGTGTTGTTGATTAAACGTTATGGACAGGTTCATTTTTATTCGTGATTTATCATGCGAGATGTTTAATTAATTTGTCGTTCATTTTGACTTTGTCGAACATTTTGTGAATTGTTGATTATTCATTTGTTGGGTTTTCCCGTTTATGTTTGAAATTCATTTGCGAAGGGGATAAAGTCAAATATTAGAAAGGCTGTTGAATTATTATAATTATATGCAATTTTTCATGAAAATGAAAAGAATTTTCTCGTGACTGGGAGAGGCTTCTGACATTTTCTGGGAAATCCGTTCGTTTTAGAAATAATTAAGTGGTTCGCTAGACATGAGAGATTTGTCATTACGTGTTGACATGTTGAATGCATTTGAGAAATAATCATTATTCTTTATCGAATTTTTTAATTGAGAGATAATGGACTGTTGCATCAATTGTTTTTCATCAAAAGAAATGTTAACATAAAAAAATTGGAGACAAATTATTATTCATTTGATTTGCAAAATCATGAAATCGAGGCAGCCATATGAATTATAGCAATTCAATTAAAGAAACGGTTGCATTTGAGAGTCATAATGCTAATACCTTATTTCTTTGCCATTATGAATCGAAATAATGCTATTCTCCTGATATTTTTCATCTAATAAAAAAGATTATGCAAAACCCTAACTGTTCTTTTCTTAACCGACGTGCGCTTATTCGTGGAATCACTTTCATAATTGAACCCGGGGATTCACCAGTGTTGTTGATTAAACGTTGTGGACAGGTTCATTTTTATTTCTGATTTATCATGCGAGACGTTTAATGTGCCATTCATGGGAGAGATTTTATTGGAGATTTTGTGAATTGTTGATTTTTCATTTGCTGGGCTTTTCCTTTTATGTTTGAAATTCATTTGCGAACCGGGAAAAATCAAATATTAATATTTCTCTTTAATTATTATAATTATAATTGATTTTTAATGAAAATGACAAGAACTTTCTCGTAACTGGGAGAGGTTTCTAACATTTTCCAGGAAATCCGGATCATTACGGAGATTTATCATTACGTGTTGACATTTTGAATGCATTTAAGAATGAATTATAGCAATTTAATTAAAGAAACGTTTCCATTTGAGTCATAATCCTAACACTTTATGTCTTTTTCATTATGAATCGAAATAATTTTCTTCTCCTGATATTTTCCATGAAAAAAAATTTAATGTAAATGGGACTCACCACTTTGAGTTTTGCTTGTAATTCCCTCAATTTTCTCCTCGCAAGTACTTGAATGTGCGAAGAGACCTGCTTTCGCGTTCTCGTCTTACCAGTGCGGAGTTTAATGTAGCGGGCAATCAGCTCATTTCGACCTGAAAGCAGAAAAAAATCGAAAATTACTCAATCAAATTTAAAATTGGAATTGGAGATGGAGAACGCCATTTATCCTCGGGGCACTGGCCATTTTAAAACAGTTATTTGTTAACGATTCTGAGATTATGTTGTAACGAGATGAATACACAACGATACCTCGAGCCCCCTCATCCCTCTTTTTTTTTGCTGATCATTCGATTTAATCCTTCTATTTGGTTTTCCAGCAATTATTGGATACCCGTTCTGCCCATATCCGAGGTTTGTATACTAAGTCGCGTGCCCCTATCGGCACTAGCGATCCTGATTAATGGTCTTTCGGGAAGAGAAACCGGTCTTTCATTGCGGATACAATCGACTTGTTTATGTGTCTTTATATAAATCACATAAACAAGAAAATCACAGAAAAATTATGGGAAACTTGTTTTTACCATTGTTTTAACTGTCAGGTAAAAATGTCATTACATTGGAAAAAATACCAGGTCATGTATGTCTTATTTACGGATACATTTGTACAGGAGATAATCTACAAATTGAGTTTTATTATTCATTCAAATCATTACGTACGAAATTGAGATATTTAGTTCTTTTTGTTCTTTATTTTGTCAATTAGCCAATTTTTCAGTCTAGTCGCGTGAGAAAAACAAATACAAATCATAATCAGCATTATTTAAATTATATTTTGTATCAAAAGAGTTTTCCTTCAAGATATCTTCGTCTTATAAATGACTGATGAAAGTTGTTTAAATTGCCGGGAACATTCTGAATATAAATTATTTTGTTACGAGTTCTGGAGAAGCATTTCTAAGGTAACGAATTGAATATTCATTAATTATTTATGAAGAAGAAATCTTAACTCTCAATAATATCAGTAGTTTGATATATTCCTCGTATATAAAAATGCCTCAAATTGTTCTAATTTATTAAATGATAACAAATTTGAATTGAAAAATTTATTAATTTCAGGAGCGAAGTGGTAAAACTGTTTAAGTCGACTCATCTCCCAGTTGAGTTTTTGAGGAATATTTCCGAATCTAAGACAGATAGTGAAATTTTCGTAATTACATTTGTTGTAGCTCTCAATCAGCTCTGCAAAAAAGGTTCTAACAACAATTTTGCTATCTCCTTTAGATTCCGAGATATTCATTGAAAACTGGTCAATAGTCAAAATTGACTTGTACTGTTTTACCACTTCGCTACTGATTTATATCTTTTTATTCTGATTGCTTTTAAAATTTATTATTTATAATTTTAGAAACTTCTTCAATTGGACGAAATTATTGAAGTAGTTGGAAATCCTTAATGACTAAGAGTGATGACAAGACTCAGTTGACAAAGTTGAAAGAATCCATTCCAAGTTTCCTTTATATGAAACACTAATATACATTGAATTTTATTATTCATCGCTTGAACTGCTTGAAATAGTTTGAACTTGAGGAAATGTAATTTTTTTCATAAATAATATTTATGAAAAAAGGTCTTACTTCTTCATATCAACGATAATTTTTTGAATCTCCCTCAAGATTTCCCCAATTAGTTCCCCTTCCTAAAAATTTTCAAACGACTTAAATGGATAATCGAGTTGACTCAAAAAAATGTGTGCACTAAAATTCATGCGACGTTTATAAATTTTGGAAGCTCCTTCAATTGGACAAAATTATTGAAATACTTGGAAATCCCCAATGACTCAAATTGATGACAAGCCGAAGTTTGACACTTGCGAATTCATTGGCCATCGCCCCCTCCAGGCCGCCATTCACACCACTAATAATAGCCGAGGGTTGAAAGTGCCTGGGAATTGATAGTAACTGACACGCGCCGAGTGTAATTATATTGGCGTGAAGCCATTTGCCTGGACGATCACTCGTCCGAGAAGATGACCGCTCCGTGAATAGAAGCAAGGAAGTTGGCAGGTACAGCCTGCAGCGGTCATTTCCAAGGAAAAAATTAATAAATAATGAAATAGAATGTAATAATAATAAAGGGGGAGAATAATGATAATGTAACAACGTGCAAGCATAGCGGATGTGCAAAACAAGGAGTTGTTTTGGCTGCAGCCTTGGGGGCTAAGATGCTTTATTTATTCGCGACGGCCGGACGTCGGCTAACGATAAATTCACGGTTTTAACGCCTCGACGGTGCCTTCCAGCCAAGAGTAGAAATTGCTGCGGCTGAGGAGACAGTTGTTGAGAGCCAACGGCCGAAAAATCAGGAGAAATTGATGGGACGGAATTTCTAGCCTTCTCAATCGCACCAATAGTTATTGACAAAATTAATTGACAAGCTTAACAGGGACTGGGGCAACAATTTTGTTTAGTGCACTGAATAAAGACTATCTAAATTCTATCCTTGAAAAATGTGGGTTATTGACAACCAAAAAAAGAGAGCAACACTTGATGCTGTCTTTCAAAAAAAAAATTCCCATGCAATGAATGAAGTGAACCTGATTTTTACTCTTATAAATGTTTAGTCTTGAAAAATGTCTGTAAACATCCCCAGGGGACCTAAAAACATAGGGATCGTTTTAGCGTGAAAAAATGAATTTTTTTGCTTTTCCCGATTGAAAAAATCGCCCCCTCCTTGGGTTTCTATAGACATTTTTCAAGAGTTAAAGCTAAGTAAACTTTATTCACTGGATAGAACACGAAATTTTTTCATTGGAAAAACGAAGATTTCGGGTTCAATGGAAATGTCATTTGATAAATATTGCCGGGATTTCTTAACGGTGTAATATAAATTGTTTTTCTGAGTGAAAAGAATTGTTTTTGTTCTACACTGTTAAACAAATTTCACTGAACTTTCCGTACAAAAACCTTGAATTCGATTTAAGAGGAAAAAGTGAATGAAATTTCAAATTTCTCCAAAAATTCAAGTGAAGTTTAATTTCAAGTGAAATGTTACAATTGACATGAATTTTCAAGTGAAAATTAATATTTACTTCCAAATTCCCCTGAATCTTCCGGGAATTCCTTTAAAATTCTTGGCATTCCAGGAATTTTCGAAGAAAATCCCTGAAGATTCATAGGCATCGGGAATTCCAGGAGAGATTTCTCGGAAATTCCCTGATTTTTCATTAATTTCCAAAGAATAATTGAACTGAAATTTATAGTTGCCAGGGGCTTTTCCATAAAATTATGAATTTTCAATGACAAAATTCCTTGGAATTTTTCTGAAAATGTAAAAATGTAGAAATTCTCCATTGAAATTTCCATTACGAGTCCTGAAAATTTCTAGCAGTGCACGGCTGGAAAATTGGCAAGACGATATTAGTTCACACTGAGAAAAAAAAATTTCCTCAAGAAATTTTCTACTTGTCCGAACGATGAGAGACAATTTGTTGACAACAACAAAGTGACTTCGCGAGCCAATTCAAGTGTTTTTTGCATTAAAATATTTTGAATTTCACACTTAAACACTACTGAGTAAATTGATTCAACAAAATTTATAGTGAGAAATCACTTGCTCGTCTTGAACAAATTATCCTCGTCTTTCGGACAACTACAAATTCTCTCGACGAAAGTTTTTTCTTTCTCAGTGCAAGATATTTTCTTCTTGTCAATTTTAGAGCCATGAGTTTCTTGATCGGAGTAAAAATGTATTGTCAAAAAACTTTGTTCCCCATATACAGATCTATTTATTCGCTCGGTGAAATTATCTCCAGACAAAAAACAGACAGAAAGCAAAAATCAACAGTGCAAAATAGTCCACACGCAATACCCCCTTCCCGTGTGCACTTCTAGTGCGGTAGGGTTTTGAGGTGTTTTCTTATATTTTCGGGTATGAGAAATCCGAATCCGGTGGTATTTTTTATGTAAGTGCGTGCAATTAATAGTTATAAACAAATTGAGTGGTTTTTTTGATGATTTTTTTT